TAAGATATCATATTGCTTGTTTGCAGCAAGAGTAACTTATTGTCCATAAGGGTATCCATGCATGATATTATAGATTCAAAGAAAATGAATGATAAAATCAGATTAGAATTTTTCTTCTAAATATTTTTTGTTTTAAAATAATTCGTTTTTTACGTTGGTAATTTTAAACATTGCTTTTTGAGCATAAAAAAGAATAAAATAATTCACAGTAGAATAAAAACTAAAATTTAAAATACATATGGAAGGAATTCCTCTTCAGACAGTTTTTAAATAACCGTTTTAGCTAACTACTTCTTTTGAAACGTTTTTGAGGGTTAAATATTCCTTTTGTTGAATACAAACGATTTTATCTTTAAGTTAGAATATCAATCCATTAAAAAAAAAAAATTCTTTGTGCTAAAAGAGAATTCTAATAGCTACTTATTTTATCATCAAAATTTCGCATCAACTAAGAAACATTGATATATTTTTTATTTTCATACCTATTAAGTTATTCAATGTTTATTTATTCTTGCAGATATTGAAATAAGAATTAAAAAAGAAAAAAAAAACGATAAATAATGTTTTTTATAATTCATTGACACAGACATCTTGTTACTGATATATCTGAACATGTTTGAGAAAGCACTGTATACTAATGTCAAGTTATATATAGATGCGAATAATTTATTATTAGAAATCGGCCACTGGCCAAAAATATAACAGCCCTACCAGACTTACCACTCCTTACACCCTCATATGCACTCTATACTAATGCAATAAACATTTTATCTACAATTAGGACACTCTGATTTTCTATCGTTTTTAGTTTACATTCAAATATTATTATTGTTAAAATTATTCTTATTATTATATTCAAAGTTAATTATAGAAATTAATGAAAATTAATGCAATAAAAATAGCAGGAAATTCTTTTTTCTACTTAAAACAGAAAATGATAAAATAAATAAGTTTAAAGTAACATAATGGAAGCATGATTTAAGGTTTATTATTAAAATTAAAATCAATACCTGTTAATGAGTGATGAGGTATATAGTATGTAGGTACATTAGTATTGAACTGCTATAGAAAACCACTCAACAAAAAGAAGAGAAAAATAGCGGATGTTGCTAAACACGTGGACGTCCTAAGACAAAAATAAACGGTGTGACTTCTAGCCGCCATGTATTGTATATTTAGTTTTCACGTTTCTAAATTCGTCACAAAGGGAGACAAAGCTGAACTAAAAGTGTCGGATGATCAACGAGAGGTGATTATGAAATCGAGAACATCAATGCCGAATAATGATAATTATTATGTATAATAATTCACAAATATTCAATCAACTTGGATTTGTTTTAGAATCTTCAAGTCTGACTTAAAGTGAATAATATCACTAAAAGTAATAAATTTATCTCGCATATGTTGGAACGATTTTGAGTTAACAACTATTTTATTTATATAAATAAATTTTTTTTGTTACATAAGTAAATAATGTAAATTCCTTGAAAAAGTATTTGAAAGCATCATTTGTAAATCTTATAATGTATATTATGTAGGAAGCATTGTGTTATTGTTATCATGATTTAAATTACGTCGGGAAATTAATTATTTATGTAATTCTATTATATCTCTAAGTTCGGCAACAATCCGATATGCCAAGAATATTTGCCAATTTTATGAAAGCTCTTTCAATGATTAAATTACTTCTAGTCTAATGAACCGTTATCAATTTGTCTAAGTAGTTTTTTGTCCTGATTTCTTGTTTAATACTTATGTTATTATCATTTACTGTTTATCTATTTGAAAATTACACAACATCAAAACTATTTCATGTTTTACTCCAATTTTTATACAAATTGCTGTAATTAATTGATTACAAAAAACTGTAGTTAAGAAGGCGCTAAAATATTCTTGAATCAACATGTTTTATTTTTTTAATTGACTAAAGAGTCATTTTAGATTGATTGTAAAAATATTTTGGTTTATTTTGAGAGAAAATTTAATCAATTTTTAATTAAAGCTTTTTTACTTAAAAATTTTTATCAGTTAATATGAATCGTGCTATATTTCAATTTATTAATAAGATTAAAAAATATTCAAAATAATAAATGATTAAAGAAATTTGTTTATTTTCTTTAGAGATTTTATAAATAGTAGATAATAAGTTAAATATTGACAATGTAGATACGCAAATTCGATTGATTACGTGTATTTTAAAATATTTACTTATTTTTCATAATTTATATTTAGCATAAATTATTTTGAGTGTATTGACTAATGACGATATAAGTTAAAAATAACTTTATAAAAATATCATGATAATTTTTTTGTCCTGTATATTATTACGCATTTGATAAAAAAAGTTTTTTTGTTGTTAAAGGTATACATACATATATTTGTAAAGTTATTTACAAGACTAATTGTAGATGGTAATAATTCGATAAACTTTCTAAAGAGAAGATGCCTAACGCAATGTTATATCACAGGATAGGCATAATTTTTGTTCAGTCTAATAAATAAGAGGGAAAATGTGATGTTACATGTAAGGTATATTTATTTCGTAATTGTTAAAGTTGGAATAAAACAAAAAGAAATCCATAATATATATAATGAATTAGAAAAAGAGCAGAACAAGAGTAAAACCATTGAAGAGGACTACAAGTCCTTCTTTTTTAGCCTTGGACTTGACTCGAAGGAATGTGCCGTACACTGACCTCAAACTCCACTCACTCACTTACTCAGTTACTTGCTTCTTCTCCCAATTTTCTTCCATCGTGTAGGCGCGCCCGTTGTCACGATCTTCGGTAACTCTTCAATATTATTATATATGCAATCTCATTCAATAATTTCATTTTTCTTTATTTTACCTTTCAACATTTTTTGCAATAACTATCATGCTTTTTAGTTTATAAAAATAATTAAATCCATATCATCATGAGTCATACTTGAGCTTATTACTTAATATATTATTTATTAGCAAAAACAAGTAAAACGTAAACATTAAAACAACTATTACCTATGAAGAAATTTTAATTGATGGGCAAATTGCCTTGATATTTGAGCTAGAGTTGAAAGGAAGTCATGGTGAATCAAGTTGAAATATTTTGGAGATGATTACAAATGTCTACAGTATGTCTGCATGGCATATTTACAGCATGTTTGTACGAAGATTGGGTAGAGTTAGCAGTGTGTCAGTGTAGCTATAGCCTATTTTAATAAAGATTGGCAAAGTTATATTATTTCAACGCATTTATTGTCATTTTTTTTATCATTTATTCATAAAAATAATTTCCTACAATACATTATTATCATTTTTATGTAGAAAAAATAAATTAAAGAGCAATGAACAAGATCGGAGCTTGTAAAATTATTTTCACTAGAGTATTTACCATGGTTGGAGTTGACTGCTAAAGAAAAAACTGTGTTTGTGACAAAACAAAGTTCTCCCTCTATTGTAATATAAATTTTACCCTGATGTCCAGCAATTTGTCTTTATTGTGAAATTCATTGCAAACTACAAGAGAGGATAGAGAAGGGAAGGAGAGAGAGGGGGAAAAGAAAATGATAAATTGATACAAAAAATTTTCGCTATCTTGATATTTCTATATTTAGTACTTGATACTTGAGAAATATCGATAATTCATCACAGATAATAATAAATAAACACAAAGATATCGAAACAATTACGTTATAAAATAAAATATGAAAAAATGAATATATAAAATAGTGCGAGATATGTATTTTTATAGTATGAATACTCCAAAGTGTTCTTAAATAAACTGATAATGTCATTACTAAAATTATCGTTTCTTATTATATCTGTTGCAGAAGACGTGGTTTATAGAAACGTTGATATAACGTCTGCATTTACTCACCTGCCCCACAAAGGTTAGTATTTCATTTGGAAACACTGTTATCTTTGAGAATAATTTTTTTATTAAATTTTTATATCATTAAATCAATCCAGATAAAAACATTGCAAATTTTTATGTACCTTTAAATGATTCTATTTTTACTCTGGTAAACTTTAGCTATCCTCGATAGATAAGAAAAAAACTACCTACAACTTACAATGTATATCGATGAGTTAAAAAACAGCGATAGTTGATTTTTTATCGTAAACAAAAGAATAAAAAACAGTGGAATAAATTATGTTTTTATTGAATTAAATATGCATTAATTAATGATGGAAGAAAAAAGAATGAAATATTGGTAGGTATGATGATGAAAAGAAACAAGCAAACAAAATATAAATAAAAATTTTTCCATTTAAAATTATTTTTGAATTGCTTTCGATATATGTTTGAGTATAAGAAAAACGCAGAACCGGGTTTTAGTATTTCTCAACTATTAATAGTCTTATCGTTGTCTTATCATGTGCGTCATTCTGCTCAATACTTATAGCTGGTATCAAATTGTCAGTTTGAAAGAAGACTTATTTACTACAAACACATTGATAAAAGGTATATTTGTGTATGCAAATGTCTTCATATATGTGTGTGTGTCAATTTCTTCCCACGCGTTTATTATTCCCCCTCTATTAACTCTCAGCATTCTCTTCTCGTCTTTATTTTTCTTATTCTTATTTCTTAGAATTATTTACCAGAAATTATTCGCTACGTTGTTAGATCATTCAGTCACAATTCAACGCTCGTGCGACAAACATAAGAGCATTCATATGTTACTCCAATATTATTGGTGATTGGATTATACGTACCTTTAATCCGTGATATAATGAATTTCAAGTGTGTTTATTTTTATACTTTTGACAGTTGATGTTGAAAACAAATTCATTTTAAAAAATTATTCAACTTCATTTATTATTCAGATATTATTTAAAAAAAACCTCGTGATATTTGAGGAATAATAATATTAATAAAAATATTATGGAAGATTTTTAAAAATGACAATGATAAATATCTGATGATGATGATGATTTAATTAAATATTCAGTGTTATTTATTGTTAAAATATGTAACATATTTATTATAAATATTTGATTTGTAATTTAAATATTCTGTTTTCTTTTTTGTTGTTGTTTGATTTTTTATTTAAAAATACAAAATATTCAGAAACTGTAAAACATTGGTGTGGACTTTTGTATATCGAAACTTTATATTCAAACTATCTTCTTTCTCTTCTATCTTTCTCCCTCTATTGCGGGTGATCTAAAATTATCCATGACTGTGCTAACATCGCAGCCTCGCGGGAGAGAAGAGGTTTTGCAAAATTAACATGTCTCTTCATTTCTTGTTTACTAACGTAACCGTTGTGACATTTATTCCTGATTAAAGTTATTATTTGTGACCTTGCGATTATAAAAGTGAAAATAAATAAATAGTTCCTAGACAAAGTGTGCAAAATTTTTTATTCAAAATAAATCTATACAGAAGACAAAATAAACATTACACTTCCGAGAATGACAATTAATAAATTAATATAAAATAAACAAAACCTTGAGGAAAAAAAACATCGTAGTTATTATCAATAAACTCATAATCTATTTAAAAACAACAACGTTAATGGTACTACTAGATTACAATGCGAATATAAATATTTAAAATTTCATTCTAAAAATAAAAATTCTTTATTGTCTGATAAAATGACATTAAACAATTTTTCTTACTCCTATGTGTAAGTTAGTGCAACGTTATAAGTGTTTATGCAATAATCATTGTCACTACTTAATATTATAATTGTCGCAGAATTAAATAAAACTTGATTAAAAACAGTAATATAACTAGCAGTGTCAAGTGTGGACGAAACTATTTGAAAGCTTCATAATAAAAGTCGTTATTATTATTAAAAATAAAAATGAAGGTTTCAGTTGACCACGCGAGTGCATTTACTCCATATTGCTCCAAAACTGTACGTGCTCTACCTTTGTGCTTAGCTTCGTCATTATCCGATATGTGTATCGTATGTGTAGACATGGCGAGGGATACACCAGGCTCGCCGATGTCACGACCACGGGACCTGGTTGCCGGGGGCGCTACAGCAACCCTTACTTCCGGTGCTTATCATTCCCCGGTCACTGATCCATCCACCCTGCATGGTCATGCTCTTCAGCAGAAAATACTTGAGGTAATGTAGATATCAATTTATTTATTATTTACATTAGAATTTAGTATGTAATGAATGTTCTTAGATATAAACATGTGTTGGTCTAGTCCATAGATATTTACGATGTTAGAGAAACAAATATTGAATTAAGAACAAAAGAATAGCAATAATTCTCAGGATAATGTGGATATAGTTCTATTCTCGTGTTGGCATCCGTTCTAGATTACGGTAATTGGTGCACGCTATTCCAGTTAGTTTCTTAGAATTGCATGGCAGTTTCGATAAAATATCGATTTAAGCTCAAGTTGATCTAAAAATCCACGGTCAAGCTCAAGGACATGCTATTAAAAATATTTCCCGCAGTTGTTATTAATATTCATTTATTCTAGTTGTATTTTTGAATATTGACAATATCAAAAATAGGGTGACAGTGAATTTATACAATATTTTTAATTGTTAATAAATATTTTTTCTTGCTCTATTTACTCAATTTCAATGGAGTTATTTTGGAGTTAAAGGCCATTTTCCAATATTTGCACAATCAATTTAATTTTTAAACACTCCCTGCTATTTTTAAATATCTATCAAAAAATGCCAATAAGAAAAATATTTAAATTTATTGTCGTAAATTATTGGTGCATTGATAAATCATTGAAAAAAATTCAAGATTTTTATTTTTTACTGTATTCTAATTAAATTATAAGTTTCTTTAAATAATAAAAATTAATAAATAAAATGACGAGACTATCATTGAAAAGGATGTGTTATTGACTCCTTGAATAGTTGTAAAACTAATAAATTAGTATGAGATGGAATAAGTACCAATAATTGATTTTACTGTGTCAATGACTGCATGGAAACATTATTTATTTAATAGAAGGGCTTTGTATCAACTTTATTACAGTATTTAATTTTCAATATTGAATAAATTGGTGTTAAAAAATCACAAAAAAAATATTTACTTTATATAATTTATTTAACATATTTTATATTTGAAAGGTTAAGGGTTAACAGCTGGTGGTCATTTAAATAAAAAAACAACTTGTCGACTGCAAACTTGATATTTGTCAATACCACTGTAATTTATATTGTTTAACTTATTTCTTCTTTTTTATTGAAAAGCTTATTCACATAGATATGATTATAAGATATTATTAATCTAACGTAACTTAAACCGGTTTATCTAGATAACTGTTATTGATTCTTCTATAAAAATAAAAACACGTTTATTATTCAAAGTCATAAAAATCTATATTTTTCATTTAGAATAAATATTAACAGTCTGCTTTATATTCCGTCAAATTCAATTATTTTGTTTTGTTTTTTTTTTTTTTTCAATTAATTTTTCTTTTTTAATAATTTTTTTTTTTTTTTGCCTCCACCAATCTGGTTTATCAATCGATTATCTCCACACTGTTCTATTCTGGTGAATATTCAAATTATATGACTTCTTCTGCATTTAACATAGATTCTGAAAATAGTTAAGCCAATAGATGTCAATTTACCAAGAATTTCATGAAAATTAGTATTATTTAGTGAGCTAAAAATTTTTGAATTATAAAAAATAATTTTATTATTAGATGTACAGTAAATTTCTTGCTTCAACACGGACGTATTCAATTGACATGATAGTTTGGTCATTGGTCTCAACCTATTAATGCCCACGCACTTCCGTCTAAAATTTTTAAATGTACTTATAGAAATAATTCATGATAACTTATTTTATTTACTACAATTAATATACAATTGTTTATATTACAAAAAATATAAAATTTTATGATGTAATAAACAATTACAACCAATTAAATTTAAAAGGAACATTATTGTAATTTAGAGAAATTATTATTTATTTTTAAACATGATCAAAGCAGCATTCTAAATTACACTTAATTTACCCCAATTAAGGGATTTTTAAAAAGAAAGATTAAGATTTTTCAGAAGTTCGGTTAGTTTCCGTTTGTGACTTCTGAGAATTAAATTAACAAACAATTGTCAAGTTGAAAATGGAATTAGTAACAACTGCAAAAAAATATTGGATAAAATAGTTATGAAAGATAAGCATAAGGAGTCCAGAATGATGAGGTAATATCCAGTGAATGTTTTACGGGTGATTATTTAATATAATTAACAATAGATAAAAAACATTATCTTTGAGGTATCTGGATTTGATTCCAGCTACAGCAGCACCATCAGCTTCAACAGCAAATTCTTCGGCAGCAATACCAGGCTCAGGAACGTCATCTTGCTGAAATGCACGAGCAGCAAATGCATCAGTTAAAGGTAAAAGACCTTACTCCTAAATATAATTTATAATGATTCATTGAAATATAAGAACATATTAGATGTGATAGTTATATAACACCACCAGTGGTATGATTAATATTTGTTAGTACTAAAATAATGTTAGTAATAGATCAAACATATATGTATCATAATTTACAAGAATCAATGACTTAAAAAATTTCTAGTATTTATCACAACACACAATGAAATGAAATTGAGAAATAACTTGAAACTGAAATAAATAAGACTAAAAAGGTTGGTGTATTTTTGGCAATATGTCAAGTAAAATAAAATCAGCTCTCAATTATCTGAAAGACGTATTGATTAACGGCAAAGAGGATAGAGTTATTCAATATTCAATTTCACCATTTGTTGGAGTAGACGTTTATTTAAAGTCTGTTTAATAAAGTTCTTCAATACAAGCCAAAAGCTATAAAGTTAAAAGAATTTTAAAATTTATTGAAAAGTTGTACAGTTGATAATAATATGCTTTTATAGTTTATAAAATCACTAGTAGTATTTTACGCACTACAGTGATAAAATTTATGATATTTTGAGATGAATCAAAAGCTTGAAACTTGAAACTACGCAAAAATATATCTACATAGTTATGGCGCTATATTGAGTTATTTGTTAACATAATATAAACTTATTTTATATATCTCAAGTACAAAAGTACAAATATTGACTTCCTCTTTTGACTGATAAATTTTTATAGAAGTTTGTGGCATCTTATTCATGGCGATAAGCACTGTAATTTTTATTAAATTCCTTCTTCCCTGTAACTACTTTAATAGAAAAACACAGATGTTGATCATCAGTTAACAATATTTTTTCAATACCTGTTAGACAATATTATATAATTTTGAGGTGTTCTTTTTTAAAGAATTAAATTGTCTGTAACTTTTTAGATATTAATATAGTTTTTACGTTTTATGCGTACTCGTAAAGAAGTTTGTAATCTTATTACGTTTTTTCAGCTGTTAATTGACCAAAATAAAATAATTAATATTCATTAACTGATGAATTCAAAGAACATACTCAGCAAAACGTTTTTTAAAAGATAAATTTTTTTGATAGCCAATAGTATTGAACAGTTTTTATATAATATTGATATATTGAGATACAAAAATATATACTAATAAATTCATTAATTTATTTGTTACCATGTATCAAATTCAAATCTTAATTCATAGAATATAATTCATTTACGTTATCTTTTTTCCAAAAATATAAATTAGTTTATTGAGAATTCGGTTTAATCCAGAAAAATGTAGTATTTATCTATTGACAAACTTATTGTAGATTTCATTATATTCAATGCATGCTATATTATCAAATTTGAAAGTACTAGTTAATTTTATGTATTTAAATTTATATTATAAATATTTTAGTTCAAAGATTATTAAATAAAAGATTTAAAAATTTTTTATTTCATAAAATAATTAAAGCTTTCACTTAAAATGTTGATTTATTACTTAAAAACAAATATGAGAAAGGATTTTTTGCATTTCATAAAATATTATTTTAATGGATCACGTCAAAAAACTATTTCTAAATAATTCTAAAGTCTTATCCATCATGTGTGATATGGACAATCGAACATTATTTTGATAAAATATCAATATTGAATGATATATTATTCAACACTTGTTATCATTGTAAAAATTTTAATAGACATTTTATTCACATATTATTAATCATAAAAATAATATTTATTTATGCTGTTATAGATGAATAATTTTATTCAACAGAGAAGTGTAATAATATTCCAGCATCGAATACCTAAGAATAAAATCGTTATGATACAAACTTTTTTTTTATCTTTCTTGTCTATTATAAAAATATTATATTTCATATTTTTTAAGGAACCTATTGATTTTATCGTAGCTCTGGGAGCAGCAAAAGCAGCTGGAAGAGCAGATGAGGGAGAAAGAAAGGATCGAAGCTTTGAGGAAAAAAGATAAACACGATCATAGTGCTGTTGCTTCTACAGAAGTCAAATTACGTCTACAGGTAAATTTCATTATTTATATTCGATAGTCTTTTATTGATTTGCTTACTTATTCCTATTATAGAGCTTTCTCGTCAATAAGAAACAGCGAGAAGCTGCGGCTGCAGCAAATGGAGCAGTTCCTGGTACACCTGGCTATAGAAGCTGGTGAGGTTTTTTTTTAATTATTTCATTAAATGAAAAAAAAAGAGAGCCAGTTGATTTAACTGATAGGAAGTTGAGAGTTACTGTCTTAAAATTTAAATTTATTTTATTATCTGAAATAATAAAATTGTTCACAGTATGTTGCTGTTTTTCTAAAAAATCATTTTGTTTATCATCTTATGATAACACTTATCGATTTTTTATCAGAATATTTGTTTTATCATTACTCAAGATGTAAAAACTAATACTAATCCATTGTAAATTTAAACAAGCTTGCACTTGAACTGATAATCTCTTTGAATCATTAAAATGTTGGATTTAAAAAAAAAATTATTATATATTTGGGAAATATTTTATTACATCAAGGGTGGTGTAGAGAAAGCTTATTGATGTACAAATAATTGCCCTGTCGCTGAAAGTAATTCAAACACGTAAATTTGAAGTAGTTTAGGTTTATTGAGGCCGACATACTGCAATTTCGCTGGATGTTGCATGCTTATAACCGCGTCATCAGAATAACGATAATAGCACAAGCTGGCCCAGTTATTCATTTAGTATTACCAAGCAGTTTCGCATTGAAAATGGTTTATTATCCTTATTCTTCGATAACTATTAACTTGAATGATAGTTAATAATCATTTTATTTGCTTCTTTATTGACTAGTTTTTTTATGTTAAAGGGAAAAAATTTTTCTCAAAAGCTATAAAACTGAAAACTGTACTTGTTTGTATATTTTATTACATCTAGAGATACATTGAATGTGTTTTGTTTGGGTCATCTTCTATTTATTGCGTGATATTTTTAGCTGGTTTTCAACTAATTTTCTGTACGCCAACTAGTCTAGGGAGCAGGTTGTAACGATTAAGTTATGTGTATATATGCTCTACTAGAAAGCACTGCTATTAGGGAGGGAAGCACTTGTAGTAAATATTTAACTTTTGGACGGCTATGTTAACACTTATTCGAAGAAGCTTTAAGGCTCATTGTTTTCAGCAGTTTCACTAAGTTGTTTAGGGTTTTAAGAATTCAAAGAAAGTACCCAACAATTCATAATTAATTTTGTCATTACAAATGAGGATTTTTCAAAATTTAACTCGGTTTTGAGCTTAATTTAATAACAATTAAAATTATAAAATTGGCTAAAAAATTTTTTTAATGAGATACGAAATTGTCAAAGACATGTTTGATAATTGGATTATTATTGCTATAAAAATAATATTCATAAAGATTTTTAACTTTTTATAACAGGCTTCAATCACAGTCTGAATCTGCCAATGCTACAAGTACTTCACATCCATATCGAATGCCACAGATCTTACAAGACAAATTTAGCGATGATTTCCCTCTTCGTAAAACAGGTACTTAATATGAATATGTCTATCAAAATAGTGGAGTGATATATTTCATCAAGCAATTTGTGTGCTAGTAGATGCCTACTAATGCATGACAACGGCATCGTCATGACTTTGTTATCTTGATACTGAGATAAATTTTGGTATTTTTTGATGATGAACATGAAAATAAATTAGAAAGTTCTGACGATGTATGAAAGCATATGTGTACTTTGTTGCAATCAGTATTTACAATCTGTTGATTTTATTGGTTGTGTTCGCGTCCACAACCACTCCTTTTTATTTGGTATGATAACTAACACTGGCTATCTTGGCCAGCTTCGGAACCAAATCTGCTAAAGGTGCGACTCAAGCAACGTGTTATGGAAAGGAACATGGCAGCAACCAGAAATTCACCCCTTACAGCACGCCGGAAGGATCGTCTGCTGTCGCATCTCAAGCGGAAGTCACTCCTTGCAAGTATGTCCCATTACTAATTACTCCCTAATCTCGTCCATGCCACTATCTATAATCACATTATGTTTATTATTAATAATTAAATTTTAAGGGTACTCTCAGTTAATTGTGGTGGTAGAGTTTGAATTGTAATAATTATGTCTTCTAATGTTGGTGAATATGCTTAAATGATCAGATAGAATATACTGGGAAAAAAATATTGTAGTTTTATATTAATTTATATTCAAGGGAGAGTACACTTAATATTTGATTTCATAGAAATTCAAACCGATGCATATGTACAATTTAATACATTTATTATAAGTTTTAGTACTTTATCAATTTATGCATTTACTAAATTACTGTGAATTTCATTTATTGATTCAAATTTTAGTTATTTAGGAATAAATGAATTTTGAAATAAAAGTAAATGCATTCACTCAGAACTTTTCGTTATCTTTTTTCATGTTTAAGTAAAAATATCAAGAATCGCATTTTTAGTTTCTTTTATTTTTTAATAACATTCAACTGAATACTCAAACAGATAATTGATCGCCTAAAAACTCAATGATAACTTATTCTTCTGAAATTTATTTTTGTAGATCTTAACTTCTTTTAAGTTCAGAGTGATGAAAGCCAAGTGTTTTTTTTTTATTTTAATAATAAATAATTTTATTTACGTATCGCATAAGTTTGCAATTAATCGATTGTTGAATTGAATTTGAGTTACATAACTGCATGACATTAACAACTTTAGTTCGTTTTTTTTTTCGAAGTTTCAATCATTATTTGAAAGTTTTCATTTCCTAAAAATTTTAAGTCAAATAGTTTATTAAAATAAAATTTACTCAAGCATTACATTTAAATGAAGAAAATGTTGCTGAATTTTTTAATAACTTTTTGAATGTACATATTAAATTTATTTATTAACAGTAATCATTCAAGCATAAAAATTTTTTTTTTTGTTAAAAATCAATAAAATATTTGTAGATTCGGGCAGTAATCCTGAATCTGGGCCTAATTCACCACCAACAGGAAATAACTCACAAGCAAGTCCAACAACAGGAAATAACACTCCTATTCAAGAGGTAAATATCTATTTTCTGCTTTTTAATCATATTTTTTGTTGTATTAATAACAATACTAATTATGCTAATTAATAAAAAGTTGACTAATATAGTTGTCATCGAAAGAAATGACAAAATTTTGTTCTAGTATTTTTTAAAAAATCATATTCAACTACAGATTATATGGAACTATAAATTAGAATATGAATAAATAATTGAGAAAATTTAGTGCTTTATTTGTGAGAATTACAATAAATAATAATTATTTTTCCATTAAATAGGAAAATGAAAATATACCATATGGAGGTCCTCTAACAAGTAGTAGTCAACAAGGAAGTCTTTCAGATCTATCATTATTCAGTTCACCTTCAATGCCCAATATATCACTAGGAAGACCACACGTGCCATCAAATTCTTCTTCAGTACGTATGACATAACAAATAAAAAATGATAAGCGTAAAAAAATAATAATAGGGGAAACCAGAACAATGTGGGGTACTTCAAAAAGTAAAAGGGTTCCCCATATAAAAATCATTTTTTTCTCAATTTTCTATTATTCAATTTAATGTATTTATTAATTAATGGCTATTAAAAAATTTTATTATGAAAAAATAATTTAAGAAGACATAATAATAGCGTTGTAAACACGTTTAGTATCTCCACATTGTTCCAATCTCCTCGAGTAAAAATACTAATACTGCGTGACAAAGTTATTCATATCATTGATAGTAATATTGTAATTTATTAGTTTACAAAGATGTTTTTAAAATTATAATTGTATTTACACAAATACTCGTGTTGCTTTTTCAATGCCTGTCGATATTAACGTATTATTATGAATAATAATAAATATTCAATTTGTCACGCAGTGCGATAAAGATAAATTGATAATAATGATAAATAATAATTATACACTTAGAGTGGAACAAAGTTAGCGCCTGTGTCAGAAGCTGAAGTGAGAGCTGCGTTCACAGCACGTTTAGGAATGCCATTAACAGGTCAGATGTTACCAGGTACCTTACCATTTTATCCGTCATTAACGATGATTGAAGGTGAGCCAGCTTATATTCACAAACAAATGCAGAGTTTGGAACAACAGGGAAACAGGCATAATGTGTATCATAGTTCACCTATAACAGATACTCAAGTAGCTCATGCAAGACTGCATAAGGCTGGTCACCGGCCTTTAGGTAGTATGTTCACTCTTTGTTTTTACCACATCGTTTATGTTGTCTTGGAAGGATACTTTTCTATTATTATCAGCACATAATGGACACTATTATGTTACAAAATATTTTTAAAAATCTTCCGAGACAAAATGTCTTCGCGTTTATCCAAAATGAACATATGAATACATTACTATACATTTGTTATTATTTTTATTAGGTAGGACACAATCAGCTCCCTTGCCATTGGGGCATCCAATGCTCCAGGGTGGTATATTACCACCACCAACGACACACTATGAAGAATATCTTGCTGAAAAGCAATTGCACGACCAACAACAAGCACACAATTATTTAAAACAACAGATTCGACAAACAGTTTTAACTCGAGTAGTATCGCGTGGTGGTCAGGCTAATCAGCTCGATGAAGCGCCTGAAAGTGAAGAGACTGAAGTTATAGATCTTACGGGAAAGAAGGATATTCAAGAAGAAAGTGAAATATCTAAACAACAAAGAGATCGTGAACAATTCCTTCAACAACAACGGGATCTAATGATGCGCCATACTCTTCAAGTCAATGAAATACCAGCTTATGTTGGAAGTAGAAATTCGCAATCTGCAAGACCACTTTCGCGGGCATTATCGAGCCCATTGGTACATTTAGGTAAAGTTGAATTCATATATGATGGATGTAATATTATAAATTATAACAGAGGAAGGTTTTTGTGAGATTATTAATAACTTGTAACTTCTATGTAGGTCCACAGGGTACTGGTAGTGATGTTTATGCTCGGGGTTCTCCCCATCGACCAACTACTGGTTTAGCTTATGATCAGCTTATGCTCAAGCATGCATGTATTTGTGGTGATACTGTCAGAGGTCATCCTGAACACGGAGGGCGCTTACACAGTGTTTGGGCTAGGCTTTCTGAGACTGGTCTTCTTCAAAGATGTGATCGTATCCGTTCCCGTAAAGCTACTTTAGAGGAAATTCAATCCTGCCATAGCGAAGCACATACTCTTTTATTCGGTAATTTTATTATTTTTTTTTTAATTCAGTGTTCTTCATTGATATTTTAGGAGAAAAATAAATTTCATAAATATTTTCATTGTCATACAATAGGTACAAATCCTCTTATTCGGCAAAAATTAGACATGTCTAAGCTCTCTCAATTGCCGATTAAAAATTTCGTACGACTCCCATGTGGAGGAGTGGGTGTCGATTCGGACACGACATGGAATGAACTTCACACAGCACCAGCAGCAAGAATGGCTGTCGGATGTGTAGTTGATCTAGCTTTTAAAGCAGCAGCGGGTGATATAAAGAATGGTTTTGCAGTTGTCAGGCCACCAGGTCATCATGCAGAAACGAACCAAGCAATGGGTTTCTGTTTCTTTAATTCCGTTGCCATAGCAGCTAGACTTTTGCAACAGAAATTCGATACTAAGAAAATTCTTATTGTAGATTGGGTAAGAATTACTTATTTTATTTTTTAAGTATTTTTGAATTAATAATATTCGAGGAAACGTTTTTATATTGATCAATTTTTTTATGAAAGTATTTTTAAACGAAGTAGTAAATTCTGAAACAACAGACAACAATGCATAAGATAGATTAGTAAAAGTGATGAAATATGTATGTTTTTTTTTTTAGGATGTTCATCATGGCAATGGTACTCAGCAAATGTTTTATGATGATCCACGAGTTCTTTACTTATCTATTCATCGGCATGACGATGGTAATTTTTTCCCTGGCACTGGTGGTTCTACAGAATGTGGTATTGGTGATGGACTTGGTTATAATGTAAATATTTCTTGGTCTGGAGGATTAAATCCTCCGATGGGTGATGCTGAATATCTCGCAGCATTTCGTACTATAGTCATGCCAATCGCAAGAGAATTTGATCCTGATATTGTTATTGTATCGGCTGGTTTCGATGCTGCTATTGGACATCCACCGCCTTTAGGCGGTTATAAAGTTAGTCCTGCATGTTTTGGCAGGATGACACAATATCTTCTGGAATTGGCAGATGGAAAAGTGGTCTTAGCTTTAGAAGGTGGCTATGATCTTGCTGCAATTTGTGACTCTGCTCAAGAGTGTGTGAGAGCTCTTTTGGGTGATGAACCGACGCCTATCCGTCAAGAAGAACTCACTAGGGTACCATGTCAAAATGCTATTGACACATTACAAAAAACAATTGCTATTCAGGTAAATTGAAATTACATTATTAATAATTCATATAATTGATTATTATTATTAATATAATTAGACAGTGACATAAATTGATGATTAAAAGTAATGACAACTAATTTATATTTATTATCATAATAGAGATTTATTCAAAATAAAATCTATTGTCCTCGAATCATAATAAAGTGATTGGAATTTATATTCATATACTACTATCACATTGTTGCAGATGTTACATTGGCCATGTGTTAAAGTAGCTGCTCATACTGTAGCATTAAGTGCATTAAAAGCAAGTCAAAAAGAACATGACGAAACCGATACTGTATCTGCTATGGCATCTTTATCAATGCAACAGCCTACGAATCTCTCGTAATAATTTTAATGCTTTTTTTTAAATCATATTCAAACTGATCAATTGATTCATTTTTAAAAAATTTTTTCTAGGACCACATCAGAACATTCCCGTCAAGTTTCTGAAGAACCAATGGAGCAGGATGAAACAAAATAAGCAACATAATTTTATAAAGTAAATAATTTTACTTATATTTCTGAAAATTTTTTAGATGAAATATATTCGTCGAAAAGAAAAAAAAAATGAATTTTTGAATGAATTTAAAAACTGTAATCATCTTGTTATTTGAGAATATAGTTAAAATTGCATTGTATAATATTTATTTGAATTTAGATTGGGATTTTAAAATTCGTCCCTCTGAAGCCCTCCAATTTTCTATCTAAACAAGATGTATTTATTATGGCTGGGCCATAATAAATTATAACAGAGAAAATTATTTATGTTGTAAAACCTTCTTTTTGGAATTTTTAACTTAGAAAAGGAATTGAAATGTGATTAATATTGACGTTTTAAATTCATTTTAATGATACAAATGCAGGGTTTTGATAACTAATTGCCTTTCTTCATCTGTAAATCTTGAATTGTTTAGAAATTAATTTCATTAAACAAATTAATTTCTTTAAAAAGTTTATTGTATATGTGTCTTAAGTAGACAACGAATGGTTTATTGTAAACGATTGAAATTTTAAACCACTAAAAATAAATGAAACAATTTTTATTTGTATTAAGCAGCATGTGAAAATATTATTTATAAATTAAAATGGAATACTTTTATGTTAAAGTTATAAACCAGAAAAACATTTTTTATAACGAAAATTTAGAAAAAGATTTACTTTAACAAGTAAATGGATACACTAATTAGTTGGTATAAAAAAACTAAAAAGACAATAGAATTAGATTTTTTTGACGTTATTTCTAACTTTGAAAAAAAATTTGGTATTGCGCTATGCGGGTCATTCGCGCAAACATTTTTGTCTTTAATCATTTATGATAAACTTGTACACGAATTATTCATATCTGTAAACAATTAAATTTTTACTCTAATTATTGTCTCGCTATTGTAAGTTTATATATTAAGACATTAAATTGTGACAAAATTGTGGATAATACAGTAAAGTTATAGTTGTCAAATTATTGACAAAAAAATTACTCCATAACAGTTATACAGTTATTGAAAAATTATATTTTAAAAGCTGACATTTAAGGAAAAAACCTGAAGTTTTAAATCACAATATTAAAAGACATTTCAGTCATCTTGTTAATAAATGTATGCGTATTTGTATAGCTAAACGCAAATACATATACTTTTTTTCATTGAAACTAACTGGTTTCTTTAAGGTGATCGAAGGCTGGTGTGATTTTTGTGATACATACTTTGTAAAAAGTTAAGATTATTATTGTTAATTAAGTATAGATGGGCGATAAAATAAAGGATATTAAATACGAGCATTTATTTTTGTGTCATGCATTTTATGAAAGCACAGATGATATATAAAAAATATAATAATAATAATAATTATAAAAATGAGAAGGTGCATATATAAAAATATTGTACGTTTGATGATATGTTTTAACAACAATATATCTGCCATAATTGCGGATACAGCACGAGAATCTCAGATAATTAGTGTATTTTGCTCTCAATATATTTGAAAAAAATTTTAAATATAATGTTCATTGTATATTTTTAATATATGTTTAGTACATGTAAATTTATATTGTGTAACAATATAATGTCGAAAATTGTGAGCACATATTTTATTGTGTATCGTTTCTTAGATGTAAACTATCTCATTGCAATGTTATAATATAGAATATAGTATCTAGGTTTATAAAATTATGTATGATTGATAAGAACCTAAACAAATTGTTCAATCAATGACAATTTATGATCGATTCTTAATCAGCCTTGAAAAGGATAAACAGCTGAATCAGCTAAAATAGATAACGGTGCCGAAATGTATGGGATATAAAAAAATGAAATTGTCATAAAAATAATAATTTGAACAATTTCCTAAAAACTTGGCCTACAATTTGTTGATATTCATGGGTAATTTTTTCAACTGTAAACGTGATGTTATCATTCAGTTTACATTGGCCATAGTTTTAGACATTTTTTATAAGATCCCAATTGAATATCAATAAATGCTTATGACATTCCGAAGTATGTTTGAAAGTGCGTATATATGTAAGATCAAGAGAGATAAATGTAATATGCAGCAGACAAATGATTGCCATTATTAATTCTTTTTTTATTTATTTTCCACGCAAATTTGAAGCAAACGAGTTGTAAAACAATAAAATAAAATAAAAAAAGATTAATAATAGTTATTATTTCTATCTTATTTAATACATTTATGAGATTTTATTTAATATGTATACGCATGTATGAATGTGCTGGTGTATCTTATTTGTGAAAAAATGATATTGATAATTATCAAAACAAGTCCATGTGAAAATTTAAGCACGAAATAATGTCTCCGTTATAAATGCATAGTTATAATAGTACACGTTTTTTATGTATATAAATGTACTTCTTATATTTACTTCAAATAAAAGTATAGTCATTGTGTTAAACTGTGATAATTTGTTTGCTTTACAGTATTTTATTATAATAACGGTTAATAAATTTCATTTTATAGAATTGCAGGACAGATAAGGGCAAGGAGAATAACTTATTGAAATTTTAAATAGGCATCTTGAGATAAAAAGACAGATAGTATTGGGACTAAAATCATTTAATTCAGTTTTTTTTTGTACAGAAAACAATGATCATAAACATAAATCCATTGCAGATTACTATTACATATTAGCATTTAATGCTTCATTACTATTTCTACCACATATGTTTAATAATCTCTAGATTTTCATTTTACTATAGGTTTATGATTATTACTGTAAAACCGTATTTATTATTTTAGTATTGGATATTGTACATTAACAAGGGAAAGATTTACTATATTATGATTTTGTATTATATATACGATAATTGAATATTGTGTACTTCAAATCATGAAATCATACTTTTATGCTGAACAAATGTCCGCAATTTCCGTCGTAGCCTTTCTGAATAATTGGTAGAAGTAGTTTTTTATACACAGGGTGGCTCAGTTCATCTAAAAATCCCATTATCACAATACACCCAATGAAAAACAGCATCAAAAACTGTAATAGATATTTCTCGTTACCATTTTAAAAAATAATCCTTATCCTAACGAAAAATAAATTTGATATCAGTACTTCGTGGTGGAAGATAAATATTTCATTAAAACTAGAATTCGTTTACGTAAATATAAATATTATTATACTTAAGTCACATTCATGAAGTCAAGTATTATTCGGCTGTCATATACAATTTAAAAGCAGTCATGATTTTTTTACTAACAAGATTATAAAATGTTACTGCATTTTATATCCTTTATCTTTATTATATATCTTGGCTAATTATTTTAATCTTTATTTGACGCTTTAAAGATTTTAAACTTACAAATATAAACATTTAAATTATTTCATATTTACTGTTGTCATATTGTAGAGGATTTTTCATCTAAATTTGAAAGTAAATCAAGATCTGTCATTAATCATAATAAAAACATCAGAAACAGAGTAGAAATATTTATTGAGCTTTTTCTAACAAATATTATTGTATTGATATTTACGTTATGTTTCCAATAGTTATTGTTCTGTAGACTTTAATTGAACAATATTTTTTATTTTTCTATTGCCTAAAATAAAATAAATTGATTCGTACACATGTTTTTATTTATATTTCATTTGATTTGAATTGTACATAACTTTGAATATTTCTTTATTCATGAAATATTGAATTTATAAAAATAAATTTAATTATTGATAAAACTACAATAAACAAAGAATTCACTGAAAATGTCCATTAAATAATTTAAAGTCATCGAATTGTCCATAGGTATTCCAGTACGTTATTCTATAAAATAATCAATATTAATCATTCAGTTCGGATAAATTTTTATTATTATATTCCATCACGAAATGTTTCTGTCACGGAATCTGTTCTTTTAAAATACGTCAATATCTATTACATTTTTTTTCCAGAAAAAACATTTTATTAATGAATTCATGTGGCTTATAAGTAGCACTCCGTACGTTACCATCATTTTATTATAAGTATAATACATTATTAATAATGTTTACATTATATTCTATAATTTATTAATTGTATAACTATGTATTTACATGAAAAAATATTTAGATGTGAATATTATAAAAAATTATTTATTCACGTAAATATTCAAAATTACTCTTTTAATTTAAAAAACGTATTTTTTTTTTTATTGTTTTACATTAATAATAAGAATAAACAAAATAGTATCGTCATTATTTTCAAAATATAAAATTTTGAAAATAGAAATATTTATTAAAGAAAATCGTATTTAAATTACTTAACCAAGTAATAAAAATATCACGCTTATTAATATAAAAATAAAAAAAAATTAAACAATTGTTATACAATCATGGTGTATTATTTACTAATTGATATTTGAAAATTATTTAAAAAACAAAAATATATGTACTGTAGGTACAATTGATCGTGTATAGTCGATCATTGGCTTTATAGAGATAGTAATAAAAATAATAGCAATGAATTGAAATTCATATTGGTGCTCAAAATGTAACTATCGAAACATTTTATCGAATACTGCAAGAAGTTGACTGATATATTTCCATCATTATTTTTCTTGGATTATTTAATGTCCGGTTATCGTAAAAAAGTAACAATGTGATAGATTTTTCATGATTATTTCACAAAATAAATTTTAACAAATTCATGAGATATTGTTAACGATCATTGTACGTATACAATTTCAGTTGTATTATTGGCTTATAGAGTAAGTAAACACTTAAAATAATATTTTATAATTTACTTTATGATCAATCAATATCATGATTATTGAAATTTGTTTATCTTTTATTTATTATTTATTTTTGTATCATATAATACATCTGACTACTCAAAGTAGATAAACGTTATTAATAATATTTATCAGACAAGTATAGACAATTAGAATAAAATGATTCAACTGAAAAAATTTGTAGTTTCTATTTTATTTAATTAGAAATATGACTACAGCCGTAAATTTCAGTTACTTAAAACAACATCTATTTCACATAGCATAGATATATTTGTTATTTAAAACGAAATTCATCTATAATACTAATTAATATTCGAAAAAGTTTTATGATTTTAAATAGTCAAAACTTTCAGATTATTCACAAGTATGTGTTATAGGTTCAAAAGTGAATGTTACTGAATTTCATTTTAAATAAAGTGTACTCAATAAATGTAACATTATTAGATAAGGCTTTGTAAAATGTGCAGAATAACTGTATTTTTTTTGTTCAACAAGCTACAATTCTGCTTAGAATGTATAGTCAGTTTGCCCATTATTCGGCATATTAAATTAGTTAGATTCGCATTTGTTAGACAGTCTTTGTCAGATCGTAAATGCTTGATTGTCTTCCTGCGAATCTGAACTCTCACTTTATTAAATTATGTACATATTGTGTATACTAATCTTACTTAATTCAACGGATCAACCGAGCCACGACGAATTAATTATTTGCCATTTAATTAATTCTCGAAATTTGTATATTTAATCTAATTTATTTTTCTACTTCACCGTTGAAAAATTTTGTTGTGAATTTTGATTTGATGAGACCCACGTAGTAAATACATCCCTATAAAAAATAATAATATAAATTATTTTTAAGTTTAGTATAAAATAATATAAAAAGTTGGAAATTAAAAAAATAATGCTCACACAAACCTGCAGTGGCTAACTACACATTCATTGCTACAGTATTCATCTTCCCACTCACTATTTGCGACAGCAGGATTTGGACATCCATGACGAATACATGAATTTGAGGGTGGTCTTTGACCTAGTGTTGTTTGAGGTCCAACTGGTTTGAAATCCACTGGTGGTGGACTCGATAAAGAGTCAGCATGAGGTGGACTCATACGCATTATTTGTTGTTGTTGTACTTGGGCTTGTTGTACTTGTTGAGGTACCTGCAAATTGATAATTAAAAAAAATTTATTAATAATATCCCTAAAAATGTGTTGTATATTAGTAATGAAGGTTAATAGGTAAATGCATTTTTTTGTAGTAGTTAATTTTTTTTTAGAGTTGATAATGATGAGGATAAAAAATTATTTCTGAAAATTTTATTCAAGAAAATGAAGGTTACAAATTACAGAAAATTATGAAAATCAAAATGATTAGAAAAAAATTCTTATAAATATGTATTGGCAGAAATGATGTTTTTTTCATACATCCTGTGTAAGGATAATTCATCAAAAAATTTGAGCGGTCACTTACGACATGAAAGATAATTAGCAGTCATTTTGACTAATGATAGAGATTTGAAATTACTTTGTAATTTGACGCAATTTTGCGTTTAATGCAACCTGCTGTTTAACGCTCGTTCTTTTCATGTCTTGTCTATTTATTTCTGCTTGGATTCTAGAGGACAGGTATGTACAGAGATACCTGAATCTGTATATTTACTAGTAAGAAAGCGTTAGTAAATACGAAGGGCAAGTTCATTGACCTGCTGCATGTATTGCTGCTGCGAGACTTGTTGTTGCATGTGCTGTTGCTGCGTCATGTGCGGCGGCGCCATCGGATTGCCCATTAAACCCTGAAACCATTCGTCATGAGGTTAATAATTGTTATTTTCATTCAATTCTTAAAAAAATAAAAACAAAAAATTTATAATAAAATAAAAAATAAAAATGCATAGCTCACCTGTTGCTGCTGCTGTTGTTGATGAGTTGGTTGCATTCCAGTAAGATGATGAGGTGATTTCTTAATGGTCATTTGTTGCTGCTGATGTTGTTGTGGTGAAGGTGGTTGAGGCTGAGGACTATAAACTTGATAAGCCACTGATCCGGAATTACCAGAATAACCTCCATAATTTCCATATGGAATTGTTTGTTGCTGTGGCTGCTGTTGCTGTGGCTGCTGTTGTTGAGGCTGTTGTTGTTGTTGTTGTTGTTGTTGCTGTTGTTGTTGTTGCTGCTGCTGCTGCTGCTGTTGTGTTGGCTGCTGTTGGGATTGATCACTTTCATTGGCGCTTTTACTTACTACAGATGCCCTATAAGCTGCCAAAGCCTTCAGATATTCTTTCTTTGCCACTTCAGTCTTTTTTTTGTATACCTAGAACAATCAATTTTATTTTATTAGAATCAATTATTTGAAATAAGGATCAACTGATGATAAAAAATGGTATTTTAATTGAAAGTTAAATTATTATGGGTTGATTAGTAAAAGCAAAAATATTTTATTAAATCAATTTAAACTCAATTCTAAAAATTTTTTTGAATTACATGATTTTTTTACTAAACATAATAACTAGACGAAAACCAATATTGAAGGGGAAACGTAAGTTTCCGGAACGTTGCCTACCAATAATCATCCCGTTTACTGTCAATAAAGCGCTGGTCGAGAAAGGCCTTGATATCGTTATTTGCCTAATGATATTTACTGATCTAATTATCTAATCAAAATTCGTTAAACTAAAAGTAACAATAAAAACTTTTATGAAATAAATATTTATTAAAATTTAATAAATAACTTTTTCAGTAGACATTTATTATTCTTACATAAAAACTGATAAAAACTCAAGTAAAGTTTTTTTTATTATTCAATAAATCCTTTTATTAATATTTTACTAGAAAAGATATTTTTTAATATTACATAAATTTTCATTTTGTCAACTTTTATTTTTACTCGTTAATTTCTACATCAATTCAAGAGTTAGAAGTTTAATCTAGAGTCTATATCACAACTTGAGAGAATATGAGAAGCGACGACTTAAGAAAGCATACCGTGCTTAATTTTCTAATTATTCGAACAGTTCTTTAGTTAAAGTTTGAGCATAAAATAGCTGTAGCTAATCAAGTTATATGAACGTAATTTTAATTTAATTATGTATTTCAATGAAGTACGTTATTTTATACACTAATAATTTTTTGTAGATAATGTTTTCTTTATTGAATATTACATCTTATATTAAAACTAATGTGAAATGAAAAAAATAATTGGAATATTTAATGTTTAAAAACTGCTACTAACAAAAGAAATATACTTAAATTAATTCAAATAATCGTTTCTCTTTGAGGAAATGTTACTTTGCTGAATCATTTCCTTGATGAAAAAATCAATTTTTTCTATTACGATATAATGTAAGATTTACGTTAGTTAAAAAAAGTTTTGAAAGGCTTCCTGATTTTAATCAGCTCCAAATTATATTACTCACTTTGAATTTAAACTCTCGACTGTTGAGAGAAGAAACGTTTTCTCATCGACGGAAGTAAATTATTCGAGTTCCATTATGAGCGAGTTCTGCTGAATTTTCAACTATTTTACAAAGAAGCGAGAGATCGATGAATAATACGCGAATACTCCAAATTTAGTTATTCATACGATCGCATTCACTCGTAAGCAGAGATACTTGAAAATACTTTAAAAGAAAGGGAATAAAAAAAAACGATATAAAATAAATTTCAAAGATTGAAACAAGATTTAGCAAGAAAAAAACATGGAGAACATAATGATTATTGTGGTAGCAGCGGATGTTTTGAATAAAACATAATGCGTCCCCTAGTACGTAGTTACATCCTAAATATATTTAATGATCTTTTAGGTCAATCTATCATGTGATAAAATGTTTTACATCTAGTTCATTCTATCTGCTCTACTCTCTTCACTTGATACTTGTTTTTTGAAATTCCGTACCTTAAATACTGCTTGACTGTGTATCTCACATAAACTTACAACATTATGCCATTCAGTACAGATTTAAATTGAGACTCGAGATAAATCTTGAAATACTTTAGACGAAGTTAATGAAAATTTAGAAATGCTTCACGATCTTCAACTTTGATAAATTTAATTTTTAGTTACTGAATAATTATTATTTAAAATTACTCTTTGGTTTAAAAGTTATTAAAATGATTATTAAAATAGAAATAAATAAATAATAAATTCATGAAAGCTTGTGAAAAAAAATGAATTGTGATTTAAGTACTTCAAGTGTCAACAGCTATGCAATATGTGATTTAATGTCAAAACTAATAACTTAATTATTTTAAATTTATGCATCACTTGTAATAACATAAAAAACTTTATGCAAAAAATTCCTCGGAAAGCTTTTAATTATATGAGAAGTGAATATTTTATACAACCAATAGTATAAGAGCATATTAAATAAATTTAATGTATATTGGATTACAATAAAAAACTTAAATTAATTGAAACTTCAACATAATACACATTTATCAAACTTTTATGTAGTTAAATTTTAAATGTAATTGAACATTGCATAAATATTTTAATATTTCATTCGATATTTAACAGAAATGAAGAAAAAACAACATGACCTACATCGAATATTCAATAAAAAGGAAAGGGAATGTAATTAAAATTCTTTTTAACTTATCATGCGGCAATTTTGTTGGAATCCAATTAAAATCGAATACCAAGCAAAATTAATCATTCCATATTATTTTTCATGCTGTCGACTTGATTAAAAAAATTTTTAATTATTTTTTTCAACTGATAGAAAACTCATCATTCTAATATTCAATGACTTTCATAACGGTATTATCAATAAAACAACTTATTATTAATATTATTAATGCTACTGCTGTTATCATAATTTTTCTAATTATCTTTTTTATGATTGTAATTATGATGGTTTGATGTATAAATAGACTAGATATTATATTTTAATTATTTAGTTGTAAAATTAATGACGTGGCAAGAAATAATTATTAAATGTATTTATAAAATAATAACACATTATTATTGTGCTATAAAGTCATAAATTTAAAGAATCTCATTAGCATTGCAGTATTATAAATAACCTCTTTCATTATTCATGCTTTGGTTTAGTGTTATTGATTACCTTCTGACTAATATTTATAATATTACACAAGTACTTGTTTTACTCAGTCAATTTATTATGAATACTGCATTGCTATCATCTAAACGTCGTCTGTTTTATATTTTGAACATGCTATTATTCATGTAATTGATTTTAATGAGGTGAATTTTAAATATTAATGTAAAGATGATAATTATACACGATAATCAAGTTTATGAGGTATTTTATATTGAAAAATTAAATATATTTCTTTTTATTCTGCAAATGTGAGGGAATTTAGGCTTTAAAAATAACTCTTATTTTATTCGAAAACGAAATTTCAATTATTCTGATTGCTATCAGTATCGATTTAGTTCAGTATATATTTTTACTTACGTCTTTGTGCTCTTTCTCTAGACCATCCCACATGGAAGCAACAATTTTAGATACTTCTCCGAAACTAGCATTGGGATTTTGTCCTTTAATGGCAGCTTGAGTATCTCGAAAAAATAGAGCATATGCCGAGACAGGCCTAAAAACAAAACGAATAAAAGTGAGCAGGTTTATAATAGAATTGTATTCTTATGGATAGAGAAGTTTCTTATGATGAATAGTACTTGGCTGGAGATTGGAAACAATTTTTTATGATGATGGGATTGGTAGATTTGATTAATCTTAATTATTAATCTATAATAAAAGAGTATTGAGAATTTTTTGTAAAAAATATATACATACTTTTGAGGTTCATTGGGATCTCTCTTCTTTTTCTTTTTTTGCACCTTCGGTTTCTTTTGAATTTTATTGACAGCATCAGCTGGTTCAGGAGATGGTCGTTTAATTCCAGCAATCTGTAAAGTCGAATATACCATTAAAAATAAATTCAATATTGATTATATATCGAATAGTGTTTATAAATTCAATATATGATTCTTTTATTATAATAGTCAACAAAAGTTTTCAATATTGAAGTTATTTGAAAATGATAAAAATTTAAATTAAACTTGTTCCAACAGTCTTTCAATTTTCAACAATTATACAATACATTTGAAATACATAATAGACTTTAAAAATAATATAATTGTTAAAATTTAATGTTATAAAAGCACAATAAAAAAAAGAACTCAAAAGCAGTGCTCACAATGCCAGAATGAGGGGTACTATCATCACTATCTTCACTGGTCGTGGTGTTATTATTCTCTGAAATGATGTTCGATGCAATAGTTGGTGGACTACCACCCGTCGGACTTCGATACTGTATTTGCTGCTGTTGCTGTTGAATTTGTTGCTGCTGCTGTGAATGAATATATTGCATATGTTGTTGCATTTGTACTTGCTGCTGTTGTTGTTGCTGTTGCTGTTGTTGCTGCTGTTGTTGTTGTTGCTGCTGCTGTTGCTGTTGTTGATGTTGATTATGTTGTTGCTGTTGCTGCTGTTGTTGGAGAAGTAACAATTGTTGATTATTGTGCTGTTGTCCAGGTGAAGTCATCTGAGATGTCTGATATGATCCTTGAGGACTCGTATATGCAGAACTGTATAAATAAATATTTATTTCCTTTTTTTAATATGGTTGATAATTACTTACTACTAATGTTAAATATTTGATCGTTAAGTTATATGGCTGTTTTACTTTTTGAAACTTTCCCTGAATAAATAAATTTAAATGACTGAATTGAATTAAGCTACTCCAAAGTAAAAATTATACAGGACATATGAGAATAAATTATTAAAAGTTATGAAAGTTTCCATATTTATAATTCACCACTGTACAATAACTATGTTACCTTATTTGGAATAATAACTTTTGTTTTTTTAATAAATACGAGACAGTATTTCGAATGATAAAAATTTGATTATCATAGTGAGTATAAACAAGATCGTATTTTTAAAGAGAAAAAATCAAACAAGTAGAAGAAAGGGTCTGAGTGAAGGGAGAAGTTAGCAAAATAAAAGCTGGTTATGGTTAGTATCCAACGGTTGAATGCTACTCTAACACAAATTGGATAACTTTTGAGATATAACCAGTGCTGCGTCAGCAACGGGAAATTTACAGCTTACTCTATATCAACTTCTGCCTAACCTAACTCATATCCAACAATCCCTATGGAAATCTTTCTCATGCCGTAACGAACAAGTATTAAAAAGATATTATAGCTATTGATAGAATCTGTACATAAAACTAACCAACACTTAATTATATGTAATTATCTATAGTAAATTTATATTGATTTTAATTACCTAATGAAATAAAATGCTCATTAATTTTTAATTAATATTTGATACCTTAATGATTTAAATTTTAGATGAAAAGGAATTTTATATTATCTCGAAAATAAATCTACCCTGATGCACTCAAGAGTCATTTTTAGATGATGTTTTTTTTTAAAGAAAAAAAGATTAATGAAACAGCACCAACACTGCAGGTAGAATAGATTGATGATGAAAAAAATATTTATGAGAAAAGTTACTGAGCAGCTATCTAAATTTGTACATATTTACCTGACATTAATTGATTGCATTGAATGATCTTGCTGAATGTAAAGGGTTTGTTGATATCCTCCAGAATCTAAATTCAAACCATCTGTAGATTGCTGCATATTTCCTTGAATCATCTGTAATTGAAAAGAAAGATAAATAAGAACAGTTGTTATCTACATGAATAGTCAATTTTCAAACAGTATTGATTGATAGGAAAAAAAAATAAATAATAAAATAAACTTCGTTAAAAAAGCAATCAAGAATAACAATTTAATTCGTGTGGATACGATTGAGTGTAATGGAAAGAATGAAAAGTAAATAGGTTTCAGAAATCAATAATTGTAGAGTATAATCAAGAATATCAATACAATATTATTTTAAAATTCAATTGATAAAATATAATTAATGCATTTTCAATTAATAGAAAATGTTATTGTAATAGTGAATAATTACCTGAGACTGATATCCATGCATTGGATCATGTGACTGTTGATGATGCTGTGCTTGCTGATGCTGTTGCTGGTGTTGATGGGGATGAATTGCAGGAATATCAAAGTCTTCATCACCAAAACTTGGAGTATGAAATGTCTAATAATCAGATAATTAAAATAATTTTAATTTTTAAACTTTTTGTAATTAAATTTTATTCTTGATTGAAGATGAAAAAAAAAACTCTGAAATTTCAAATACCAAGTAATTTTTAATTTCTTTTCAGTTTGTAAGAAAATTTTAAATTTCAATGAATCATAAGAATTTCCAATAAATTTCAATTACTTTTGAATGATCGTATCTTTATGAAAAAGAACTGGATTCAAGAAGAAGAAAAATCAATTTAAAAACTTCAACTTTTTAGTTTCCAAATAAGAAATTCAATCTATCTATTGTTCCCAACTACATTGTACAAAGTTTATCAACAATTGGAATGTTTTCTCTTGGTTCTTTGACAATAATTAAATTATTATTGTGTTATTTATTGGATTGTAAGATATAATTATTTTCAATAATTGAACAAAAGACAGTTATTATATCAAAGATAAAAATTGAAGTATCGTAAGAAATAAGTATGTAAAAACATTTGCAGAGTAGAGATTAAGAACCTTGACAAAGAGGTATAGAAATAGAACATGAAATAAAGGAAAAGGAAGAGGGAGATAAAGAACATGAAAGTTGAATCAAAAAGAATCTAACCCTCGTGAATCCACCCACGCGGATGATAGATAGCATTATATTGTTCAAAATCCTTTTACCAATTTATTCTCTTTCTGGGGGATCTTTCAAAGAAAGACGAAAGAAAATAAATTTGTTGCAGAGCCGCATCGGTGGTATTGGAAAAAGGAAAAGATAAAGAATAAAAGTTTTTAAATTGGATTTAATAGCGTCAGGAATTTTTCTTTGAAGCAAACAGGCTACCTATATTGATCCCGCCTCTATCTTTTTTTTTTTCAATTTCTTCATAACTTTGCTATTATGATGTCTAGCATTTGAAAATACTCTATAAGTTTTAACTTTACAATATTTCTTATAATATTTTGCATAATCTAGGCTGTTATTATGAATTATCTTTTCTTAATGTATATTTTTTCTTTTTTTATTCTGCAAAACATAGATTAATATTATGATTATTTTATACAATTTTCTCTTCAGGAAGATAATTCAGTTAAAAATGTATAATGCATGAGGAGCTAAATTATTTGAGATTGATAATCAATAACTTACTTGGTCAGTCATGGTGTAATTATTGTCGTGATGATATGTTGTCTGATGATGCTGGGGCACGTTTAGTGACAAATCAAGATTGTCGCTTCTCTGTAACAATAAAAAATTTAAAGCATTTTAATTTAATAATTCAATTATAAAATGTAAAGAATAGCTTATAATAGAAACCTCAATTTTTAAAATGATATTTATAATGATAGAAAATAATAAAACACATTTTTTTTTTCTAGATGTTATAACTGTTATTTATCTTATTCGACTAAGCAAGACAAACTAATTATAATTCTAATTACATGAACCTGTCGAAGTAGATAATAATTATTATTATTTTATTCGTTTTATAATAATAAAATCATAGGAAAAAAATATTTGAAAAATGAATAGATTCATTAGTTGCAAGTAAATACACAGTTGTGTTAGTATTATCGTAAAAATTTATCTATTGCGTCAAGAATGCTGATTAAATATCTTGAAACACGTATGATTTATTCTTATGGACTAGTTTTTTTTTACATTGATACATTTATTAACAGAATTGATAATATGTAATTTCATCATTATTTGTAAGGTAAGTAAAAATAGAGATTTCTGATAAAAAAAAACATTCGTTAGAATTGATTAAAAAAATTCTATCGATATTGGAAAAATATGGTTGCTTGTAAATCAATATATTACTGATAATTTCGAAAATAACATAAATATTATCCTTTAATAAACGAATAAATAATTGAATTTTAAGTTGATGTAATCTGATGACATTAGACTATTTTTAAAATGGGTTCAAAATTTTTTTTATATGAGTGATTATTTCTTTACATTCTTCATAAAATGTCCACGAATATGTGAGACACGTATTATTATTGTTATATACAGATTACCGTCTCTACTATACTTCTATTATATTCTACCAGTCGTTGAGACTAGAACTTTTTTTTTTTTTCATTTTCATTAGATAAAACCATTTTCATTATTTTGGACGTGAATATAACTTGTGTTATATAATCATAATTATTTCGTATATTTTATACTCCATACAGAGGACTATAATAAAGCAGGAAAAAAATTATATCTGAAGATTAAGCTCTAAAAAATATACTTATTATCATAAATAATGTTTATGTGAATATTATGCTCCAAGATAATATTTATGATTATTGTTGTATGTAACTGTAATATCTGCATAAAAAATTTAAAAAAATCTTCAAAAAACATAAATGAAATTAATGAACATTTTAGTTTTCTATTCAACAGTATATTTAATTATAAAGTTGATATTTCACGTTAAAGACTTTTTTCATAATGAAAATACTTTGAATAACTGAAGCATAAAAAAAAATGTAGAGAAAATGTGAAAAAGATGAATAAAAGGAGTGGAGGCGTGGTTTGATCATTGTCGAAAATTAATTGAAAATTTTAAATTAAAAATACAAGTTATTTCTCTTTTTCTCTTGGTAAGTTTTATCGTGCATAATTGAAATTATTTTTTCTTCTTTTGTTTACTGGCATAGAAAATAAAATAGAAAAGGAGGCAATCTCATATTTCAACGAAACGAGAAAAGTTAAAAGAATAGAATGAGGGAAGGGAAAGTAACAAAAAATAACGCTGATGACGCGCTTCATTTAATTTTTTTCCTGTCTACTCTCAAATGTTTGATCAAATATCTCCCTTATCAAACTGTATGCACGCTTTTTCTTTTAAAATGAAAAAAATTTGTTCCTCTCTCTCTGTTGCGATAAAAATATCTTAACAAATAAATTAGAGTTTATAATATCCTTATAACTTTTTATATAAATATAAATTAATTAAATTTCCAAATAATCAAAATTAAAATAACGACGAGTCTAATATGTATATATTTTTTTGTAAATTGTAATTAAATGTATTTGAGTGATAAGATGAATATACTATGGCACAGATAAAGTTGCATAAATTATTAGATGATATTGTTTGGTTGTTTAATAGCATTATAGTGAAAATGCAGTATATTTGGGATACTGTGTTGGTAATTTGGAATATCGTAGTATAATTAAAACTAATGCTATTTAGTTTCAAGCTCCATAAAATAATGAGGTTAGCTTTCTCAACTAATGATTCAAATTAATCAACCGCTATTTTAAAAGCTCGATTTTGTAACTTTAAAGTAAAGAAGAAATTAATGACAAAAAAAAGCAAAATGCTGTCATGTTTTTTAATCAGTTTTTGTTGTATAGAAAACTTACTAAATCCAAATAAATGGTGCTCTTTCAAAAACTTATTTTAATAAGTTTTAACTTGGGATGATCAAATTTTTTTATCATCCCTTATGTATCGCAAAAAATTATTAAATGTCAACTGATAAAGCCAAGACGTCAATTATGACCTTAAGCACTAGTAACTTCCGAAAAAATAATCACATCGTAATGACTATGATGTTATTGTAGAGCTTAGAATGTCAGCTTTGAAATGCTGCTAATAAATATTACAGAGATTTTTTTTTGTTGATCTAAAGCTGATAAAGTTAAACAATAATTTTATAACAATAAGCAATGAATATAATACCCTTGGCGTTTTATGTTATGATAAAAGAAATACTTTGATAGACAAACAAAAGAAATTTTAGTTATTAATGAGTAAAGATAACTCACTTAATCCATTAGGAATACAACTCTATGCATAAGTAAATATTTGCAACACTGATAGACGTTGGTTTTTCATATCTCAAATCTACTAATCAGTCAAGTTTTACACGTAATCTAACAATAAATGTCATATCAATCGAATCTTATACTTGAATAAATTGTATTTGACCCCACATTTTCATAATCAAACGACCTATCTATCGCCTAAGTTTACCACTTTCAAGAAATTAAACGTCAAATATTCATGCAATGCTTATGGCTTGGAGCAATCTAACCAGAGAGATTACCATAAATAATATTCAAACGTAATTTATGTGACATTCTAAATCGAATTTACATGGCAGAATAGTGTACGTTAGTGCGAAAGTTCAATACATAAGTTAAGTCCTTAGATGTATGTCTTGCAATGTGTGGGAAATCTTGTAAGAATATAGTTTACACGATTACGATCAATGGCAAACAAGCTATTTCAACGACATATTTGACAGATTCACAACAGGATTGATATTTTATTTCATTTTTCATTTGATTTTTAATTTTATTAGTCAATAATGTCATTAAAAACTTTGATGGATATGGAAAGTTTACTGATTTTATTTTATTTTCAATTAATCAAAGGTAAAAAAGGTGTGGATTACTTTTAATAAATATTCAAAGTAATAAATTTATTCAATTATGTTATAAATTGTTTGATGACAAGTGTTTACTCGTTTTTTTTTAATTCTACCAATTATTTATATTTACAATCATGATAAATCTTTAAAAATTATTTACTTTCTCATCGATTATTTAGTGTAAAAATATTTCGTAATATTTATTGAAAAATTTATTTTAATTTTTGTTGCTTTTTATTCATAAAAATGAGAAAGTTTTTAATGGAGATTTTGCAACAGAGGAAAACATGTGCTAAACCGAAATAAATAACGCCAATTTTGGAGTAGTATATTTAATATGAAGAAAATGAATATTTATGGAAGGCATTAAATTCAAATTTTACTACAGTTTTGGGCAGAATGAACAGAAAAAAATCTGATTTATTACCAAAGTAAGAGGTAAAATGTAGATTGAGTTCTTTGTGCAATAGACATAATACAAAATTATGGTGATTCTTAATGAAAAAGTGAGGTACATAAAAATCTTTAAAGAATATTTTTGCATATATTAATTATTAATAGCTCAATAAAAATATCTTCTCCAAGTAATTATAAAAATATTCAAATGTTTCCTTATTGTCAGATAAAAAGAGATTAAAATTAAACATAAACTTTTGATAAAAGTAAAACATAACATATATAATATGATAAAGCAAAACACAAATACTCATGTTATTTATGATTTTTCAAGAGCCATTAAGCTTTATAAAAAATATTTAAGCCGATTAGATAGAATATTTCGTGTAAGTGAAAGCTATTTTGTTGTACAACCACACCAGTAACAACAACCTCAACCATGTAGCACCCTTGTACAAACTTATGAACATAAGTACAGCTCAGTAATATATGTAGTAAAAATTATTTAAGCATATCTCTAGTGTTAAATGAATTACATGAAAGTCAATATACACATTGGTGCATTTGCTTGGAGAGAAAAGAAAGAGATAGAGAAAATGAAGTATGAGTGACTGGAGAGACAGCTCTGGACATTTATGATGGTCTATCAAGACTCTTCTCCTGAAGGGAGAGTATAGTAAAGAGCAAGACTTTGACGGGCAGAAGATCGAGCACTTAGATTGCTCAGAGAAGAGTTATCGATTTGCGATTATCATAAATTACAACCTGAAGACTCTCTTGAGGCAACGATTAACAAAAGAGTTAACGATAGGTTAGTCACGTTAACTGGCCGATTTGAAGGTCGACCAACAGGGCGAAGAATAGAATGCAAAGGAATAACAAGTCTAAGATAGGCAATTCCGGTTTAACAAACGGGACACAGGAAACAACTCAGATAAACTCTATTCCCATGTGAACTCAATTAATTCTTCAATTACTTCATGAGAATAATAAATTCTCTTTCAAGATTAAGTTATTTATCTTTAACATATACGTACACTTATGTGTTTATTGCACAATTGGATTATGTCAAGGATGCCTTTTTACAATATTTATTAACTTTAAACAACATATTAAATAATTAGTCATGAGGTTAATTTAATCAATGAAATTGGAGCAAATATGACTCTATGTTCGTATAATGAACAGAGATTATTCATGAATAAGGTATTATCATACGTTGATTAACTCTTACTTTGTCGAGAAATAAGTTATGTTGTGCTATCAAAAATTGAATGGTAATTATCATTATTGGTCCAAAAAACATATTCCAACAAATAAAAAAAACATTCTCAACAATTTTATTCGAATTAGATTTTTTTTTACAACTCTAAATTAGTTTGGAGTAAAAAAAAACTCGTCTTTTTTATTTCAAGTAATTCATCCCTGATTCTTTCATCTTTTTTGTGCTCATTTGAGTCT